GTGGTACTAAAAAAAGTACCAGGTACCAGGTACACTGTACCCAGTGGAAAACCCCCCAAAAGTGAACCGTACCGAGCCGTACCGTGCCGTACCATGCAGTGGAAAAGCGCCATAAGTGTAAACAGGGCAGACCTTCTTTATGAATAATCAGAAAGAAAAAGTGTCACCCAGAAATTTTTAAATATGCTACCACTGGGATACTGGTTTAACAGAAAGCAAGCACTTCAAGGTATATACATACTGCAGACATGTTTAGATTGCATGTTGGTTTGAGGGACATACCCAGGCTTACTCTGTCTGGAAGTGCAATAAATGGACATTGACAGTCCAATGACCCTTTGCCCCTGAGCCCACTCCACCCCCTCCTCCTCTTTCTGTTCGATTGATGAATGGAGAGGAGATTGAAGATCAGGTGAAGGGGAGAACAGTGGCGATTACTACACAGCCCTGTCATTGTATCTGACAGCTGTGTGACAGTTGTGGAAGAGATACATATTGTATCTGGCAGTGCCTCTGCATTTAATTTTTTCATTAATGTGTGTGTGTGTGTGTGTGTGTGTGTGTGTGAGAGGTTAAAGGCTTGTGCAAGACAGCAAGGACAAATAGTGGTGTATTATAGTCTCGACCAGTTCTGTTTATTTCAAAATGTGTTTGTCCAGTTGTGTGTTTCCATTTATATGGTTTCAGATCTTCATATTCACACATCAGTCCATCCTGTATGGTCATTCTTTAGGTTCTGTTAGTATAAACCACGTTTATACGTTTATACACACGTAAACAGGTTCTGACACATATAGCTACATTAGCAGTCTATTAAAGCGGCCATATTCTAATGTTGTATGCAATCTTACACTGAAAGTTTACTTACAGTGTAAGTCAATGTTATTGCATCAAAAACAATTGCGATTAAACAGGCTGTTTTTGTTACTGTAATAAATATTAAAAGAGTTAATTATTTGAATTGTGTTATGAATAGCTAACTGTATGTGAGAAAGACCAGCCTAATTCACACTGTTGTTCATCAGAGAGGGCTGAGTTGCAGAATACTGAATGGGCGTTGATATGTAAACGTTGGCATATGTTAATGTGCTCATGGTTGTGATGTCATAACCATGGTGATTTCTGAATCACCTTTTATAGCAGTTTAGTTGCTCTAAATGGAGGGAGGAAGCTGTCAGTGGAGTAGATTAAACAAGGAAAATCCATTTCCATTGTTTGTCCTATTTCCATTTCCATTACATTTACATTTAGTCATTTAGCAGACGCTTTTATCCAAAGCAACTTACAAATGAAAAGTATAAATGTAGGTGTTAAAGGGATAGTTCATATAAAAAGAAAAAATTTTGCCATCATTTATTCACTCTCATATTGTTTAAAACCCACATGACTTTCTTCTTTCAGTGTGCCACAACAGGAGAAATGCTGCAGAATGTACTGCCCATTTTCCATGTGGTAAATTGATAGTAAATAAATTGGGATCTGGGTTGTCAAGCTGTAAAATGACCAAAAGCATAGTAAAAGTATCATTTAAGTGGTCCGTATGATTTGTGTTATGTTCCAAATCTTCTAAAACAACGTTTAGACCAAAAGTGTTGTTATTTACTGAAAACCTTACCCTCCACTCCACCTTCATTATCAAATGAAAACGTGTCTATTTTTTTATTTTTTTTGTTCGAAACACTGCACATGGCCTTCAGAAAATTAATGTGGTCTAGTCGTGGAAACAAATTCTTAATTCAATGCCATGGCTTTTTTTTGGCCATGTCTCGGACCCCATTGTAATGTTTTGTTTTGTTGTTTTTTTTTTTCTGGTCATTTTGCAGCTCCACAAACTGCTCATTCTCTTTCATAATATGGAAAAGAGTAGCCAACACATTCTTCAACATTTCTCCTCTTGTCTTTCACAGAAGAAAGAAAGTCATACAAGTTTGGAATGACATGCAGTTGAGTAAATAATGACAGCATTTAGATTTTTTGGAGTGAGCGATCACTGTAAATAATTTGTTGCATGTTTCTGTTTGTTGAGACGCTCTCTGGAGGTCTTGACAAACTTGTACAGTTGTGTCCTGTCAAACTGGCAGTGGGGTTGCTGCGTCCTGGTGTCCTGAATGTGTTCTCTCCCTGTTTTGGCCAACACTTGGCCGTGATCCGCTGTAATGACGGGAATGCTGTTTGTATGTATTTCCCTTGCTTGTAGCTGCAGTGTTAACCCTCCTCTTCCCTGTTCCCTCTCTCCCTGCACCAGGCCCGGCTCACCTCCTGTTCATCCACTTATAGTGTCACAGAGGTACAGCATGTTTTACAAGACGCCGTCCATCACCCTGCGACTAACCACGCCCCTCTCAGAGACTCGGCCAATCATTGCTCACACACCTCACATGTGCACAACTCATCCCTGTAAAGCAAGTCTGTCTCATCGGTTCATTTATTTAACCCCAAAAACGCCTTGTAGTTTGTTTTGTGTGTCCTTTCATTAGTTTCTCATGAATTCTAAACTTTTCTGTCCTAAATAAGGATTAAGTGACACAGAATCATTAATTTGATCAATGCATAACATCATATGTGCAGTATTTTTCATAATTGATGTAACCATTTAAAGCTGCTGTAAGCAATATTTTGAAATACTGCATCATCCCAAAATCAAATAGAAATAGTGTGAATAATATTAATATTAATTATAATAATACATATTTTATCATTATAAATTATAATGATATTAAAATTAATTAAAACTCTAATATTATAATAAGTTATTATTATTATTTCCTATTATTCTAAAAGTTGATTCTCATTATTGTAATAGTCTTTAAAACATTAGTTTTTTAAATTTATTTCATATAGCTAACAAATGCTATCATGATTCATAAATACTGTTCATTTTACAACTTTTATAGATAATATAATACCATTTAAATTATACATCATCATTTTTCAAATTACGGTAACGAAAATTTGATTTTTTTTACATTGGGGTAATTACATTTTTTGTATTTATATATGTATTTTTAAATTTTTGAGTGAAATCAAGACCTGTTCTTGAAAGGTTTGATCAGATTCACACTTGGAGGGGCGGGTTTTTGGAACGAGTGTTTGAAGGGAGTTAGCATGATGGCTAAATTGCTTACAGCAGCTTTAATGAGCACCTAACACACTCTTGTTCCTCAAGACATTTATTTCTCATAAAATGGTACTTTTTTGCAACACTTCCAGTTTCATAAAGTTGGAGGGGTTATAGAAATGAGCTTTAATACAATCCCAAGTGCTCATTATCCACGGAAGCCTCTTTTGTTCTTGGAAATCAGGTGAAAGGTCAGCGTAACACACAGAGACACGCTGCAGCTGCTTTGCTCCTCTTTGGTTGCGTAGTAGTAGTGGGATTATTTTGCTGTTATGGCTTTGCTTGATTCCCCTTCATATTTTTCATTTCAGTGTTAGATGATCCTTAGAGTGTGTGTTTGTGACTGTGTATATTGTGAAGTGTGTGTGTGTGTATTTGTTGATGGGGAAGGCTGTATCAGGTGAGTTACTGTCCTGTGGCTTCCTCCAGGCCTCACGGAGAGAGTTCAGGGCTCACCTGGATGAGGTCATCACGCTCAAGTCAAGGTACTCTACCTTGGACCAGGTAAACAGATTAATCTTCACATAAATCAACACTCAGCCAATCACACATATAAACATGCACTAAAGTCTTCCCTCAGAGTGTTGCACGCGGCCCACTGCCTACTGATGTAGCATCAGGGCAGTTTGTTTTGTTATAGCTTTATCTTCTTGTCTTAAACAATCTCTGTCTCTCTCTCTAGCTCTGTTCCAAAACCTAGTCGGCTGCCTTGTTGTCTAGCTGTCAACTACAGAAGAGACTAACTTCTTAGCGCTTCGACACAAATCTAATTTTTTGATTAGATAAAATTTTTATCAATACCTTTTGGTATTAAATATATTTAGAATCAACATTTTTCTTGACTTTTCAGCAATCTTGAATGGACTTCTCCCCAAAGAATTTGTGGCAGTACATTTTGTGATTGCCGCATTATTTCTTCTTACAGTTTGGCCAAATTAAGTTATTTTAGAAGGCAACATAATTATTAAACTCTTTAAGCTAATTTTATATGTAAAGTTTTGTGTTTTCTTTCCTTAAAAACAGTGAACCCATAAAGCTTATATAATATAATATAATGTAATTTAATGTAATACAATATTTACATTTTTATTTAGTTTCATGTTTTTTTTCCTTAAAAACTAGAGACTCCAAAAAAAAAAAAATGATATGTATATTAACTTAATGATACTAATATACTACTGTTTTTTTATTTAAACAAGGTTTACTTTACTTTACTTTAATGCATTCAGTTTTACTGCATTCATTACTTTCCTTGGGGGAAATGCTCATTGTACAGGGAGGTTAGTGAATTATTTGTATTAAATAAAATATGAATATTTAATTAATCTTAATATTTAAAACATCTCATGATATTTTAATATACATTTTAACTTAATATAATAAATTTCAGATTTAAGCAAGTTCAACATTTGATATTAATCACGTTATCTACAAAATTTGCAATTAATTATTTTAATTAACTAATATGATTGTTCCATCTTTATAATCATTCAGCTGCCTTTTGGAGCAGCTTCGTGTTGAAAGTGACTTGGTTTTGGTAACTAGGTTTTGGAAAAGAGCCTCTCTTTCCCCCACTTTCTCACTTTTTCTCTTCATCCCTCTTTCTGAGCTAATAAAATGGCTTGCCAGTATTACAGCTGTTAGTTCCCATACTGTCTTATCTATCATTTCTGATTGGTTAATCACAGAGCGGAGTTCCTCTTATTGGGCCTGACACTCACTTGTTAATAATTCATTCCCCATTGCTGTTCCCCAATTACTCCATCTGCATTTCAGTGGTCAGGGATTAACTCTCATCTGCCTGTATGCTGACACATGGTTCCCCACCTCTTGTGTGTGTGAGGACGTGTCTGTTTGTGAGCGTGTGTTTTCAGTCCACTGAGTTCTTTGGTCCGGCTCTGATTTAAAGAGACCTGACGTCTCTGCATTGCTTTCATTGCCTCCGTCCATTCCTTCAACCCCTCCTGTGATCACTGGTTACCTCTCATCTCCACTCTGAGCTCATTCTGTCTGTTGTTTGATGAAAGGAGGTTAGTTGTACAAATAGGAGGAGGGGAAGAATAAAAAGTGCCAAGGATATACAATTTTCCTTGCCTGTACTTACAAGACTGGGTAAAAAAATGGCTGGTTAACAGCACACTACCAGTCTTAGATCTGCGTGTTTGTGTTGTTGTGTTAAATCTAATGACAATGGTCTTTTTTTTTTGGTTACATGCAATGCTGGGTTTTTAAGATAAAACAAGGTTTATTTTATTTTATTTTAATAAAGTGTGTTCAGTTTTACTGTATTCATTCCTTTTCGTAAGGAAAGAAAACAAATTAAACTGATTGAAAGAGTTTTAAAACAGTATCTAAAACATGGGCTATGGCCTGATATTTTAATATGCCTTTTAGCAGCAGTTTTTATGTTTTCATTATTATTTATTTATTTTCTACGGTAAATCTAAATCTATGATTCTCTCGAATCACCATTATTATAATCAAAATATATAAACAGGACTATTTTTAGATTCAATTTAATCATGGTTAATCTTATGGCATTTTTTAGTTAACATGAATAACCTAAAATTTTTGGATCGCCTCTGTTTTATTTTATTTTACTTTATTTAAATAGTACATTTGCGTTTTAATGCACTCATTGCTTTTCTTATGGAAACAAGTAAAACTGAAACAGCTTTAAAGTACAATTAGGTAAATGCATTAATTGTCTTAAATTATTAATATTTATTGCCTGATATTTTAATATGCATTTTAGCAGTAATTTTTTTTGTTTTCTTCATCATTCATTCATTTACTATGATAAACCTATAGGTCTATGGTTTAAATAATCTGGATGGATTTAAATAATATCTTTTAATCAAATAAAAAATGATCATAATGTGTTATTATACATAAAATATATACAGGGCTTTCAATAAATTAAATGTATCTTGAGTTATACATTGTCTTACATTTTTACATGATTGTATTTCAACATTTTGTTTGAATGCATTCAGTAGTACAGTTTAAAGAAAGAAAACAAGTGCAGCTAACTGAAACTCACATTATGCCATTATTAGATAAATGTTTCTACGGCATTAAATTAAGAATAATTGGTATGGTAACCCTGATATTTGAAAGTGTATCTGTCCATAAGGTTTCTTTGTCATTCATTCATTCATTTACCCATATGTCCATTCCACGTGTGCAGTTCATTCAGTCCCTTCAGACCTCAACTGCAATAATGTAACATACAAACTCTGCCCTGCTCTGGTGGCCATTAGCACAATGATACTCAGTTTTTTTTCCGGTGTATTCTAAAACCTCACTGGAACAGAAGTGCAGTATGTGGCGCGCGATATTCATTCATTCCAAGTGTGCACATACTCTCATTCAGTCCCCTCAGACTTCAAATGCAATAATGTAACACAAACTCTGCCCTGCTCTGGTGGCCATTAGCACACTGACACTCAGTATCACCAACACTGTCTTTTTTCGGTGTCTTCTAAAATCTCACTGGAACCGAAGTGCAGTATGTGGCGTGTGATTTCGCTAACTGTGCCGAGTGACATTGTGCCTCACCGCACCCCTCTTCCTCGCTAACCTGTGCTACCTTCCTGGCTGGCCGGCATAACGCCCCACTAAACATTAGCATCAGGACCGAATGACGTCCAGTCAGATCTCTCTTCACCTCTCAGTGCTCATTCGTTGTCATCTCAGCTTGTTGTGTGTAAACCGAGCGTGCGCTGTCTCAGAAAGCCTTTAAAACTCATTTGGTTTTCTTTTTTTGGTCTCCCAAAGCTTCTCCTTTGCTCTGTCTGTTGTAAACCCTTTTGTTTCTGTTCATTGCCAAAGCTCCACTCTAGGCTGGAGGGGCTCAAAGATGATCGCAGGAACCATAGGACCTTCGACTTGCGAGTAACTATTCCCAACCCACGCAAAAAAAAGGAGCTGCTTCCATCCGCAAACTCTGCTTTGCGTCAGGAGTCCAAACTCCTTGCTTTACACTCTTCTTCTCTCTTCTTCTCTCTGCTCGTCTCTGTTTCTTTCCTTCTCTCTCATTATCTTGTCTGTAGACGTCGCTCTTTCTAATGCTCTCTTTGTTTTATTAGCCGTTTGGTGTGTTGGAGTCTCTTGTGGACATTGAGTTCTGTTTCTTAGATCTGTTTTTCTGTTCCTTTTAAGTTTTACCTCCATTTAGATGCAGTGTTTTATTGCTGTTTGCTGTATGTGAGCTGCGCCTAATCGTTTTCTTCCTCTTCCTGTCCTTTCCTAACTCTCTGTCTTTCTTTGCTCTGTGTCGATCATTGATTTGTCGTGTTGGTGCTAGTCTGTTGTAACTGGATCGTGAGTAGAAAGGATTTGGGACTTGCTTGTGTGTCTCCCCCTATAGGCCAGGGGCATTGCGTCTCAGCACGAAGGACACATAAAGGGCTGTTTTTAACGCTTTCATGCAGTAAATCAAAGACTTAATATCTATAAACTTCTGTCACTATAGCCTCAAGTCAATGTGTATTTTTGCATGGAATTTGATTGCCCTCTCATACCATTACTCTTGGCCTAAGGGAACTCCATACTTTATGATACTTTGTATTGGTAGATTCCACAGTTACAGCTGAATGTATAATCAAATTTACTATTATTATTATTATTATCTTAAAACATATATGGCTCATTTGGAAAGAAATTCAGCTTAAAAGGGGTCAAAATGAAACTGGATGGGAGGGAGTGCTTGAATTGTGTTCCATAATATGGAGCTTCTAGCTGTTAAAGTCAACATGAAATCAGAATTGTCAATATTTTTTTAAATAATATTATAGGCATCTAATTCTTTAAAAATAAAATAATAATAATTAATTATTATTTTTTTTTCCTCTGAACTGATTTATCCTGATGTCTATTTTGACATTGTTTTAGGTTACTGTTGTAGATAAAGAAACTTCAATAAGATTACATCAACAATATCAAATAAATCTGAAAAAAAAAAAAAAAAAAAAAAAGTTTCCACTTATGAAAAAGTTTCCAAAATATGAAGCAGCACTTTTTCAACATTGATAACAATCAGAAATGTTTCTTGAACAGCAAATCAGCATATTAGAATGATTTCTGAAGGATCAATATTTCACAATATTATTGCTTTTAAAACATAAAAAAACAAACTGACCCCAAACTTTTTACGGTTAATGTTTCTTTACTAAGAATACAAACATTCAGAATAAGTTCTCAATAAGAGCAGGAACATGCAGAAACAGCAAATGGAGTCACTTTCATATAAATTATAACATTATGTGGAAAGGCCATAAAATCTACAGAAAAGGAAAGCATTGGGTGTCGAGATGCTTTCGAGGCTAAACTTGACCTTTGACCTCCAAGTTTTAGTCAAAAAGCAGACAGAAACCCCATTTTTGTATATCAGTGTACATAAACAGTATACCCCCCCCCCAAAGGTCAAGTTAATTTTATTACATTTTATTTTCTCTATAGCGCCAGATCACAACAGAAGTCATTTAAAGTTACCTTTCCTATAGAACAGGTATATACCTTGTTCTTTTATTAAACAAACTAATGCTCGTGTCATTTGAGTAAAACAAGGTATTCACGGCAACCCATCAAAATAACATTTCGGTTTAATTTGAAGGCATTGCGGCAAAAAAATATATAGGCTATTACTATTGTTCAGTAGAATGTAATAGGCTACTACTAAAATTAAAACCTTATTTTTAAGGAATAATCATACAATTAAATAGCCTTATGTTATTTATCTTATTTACACGACGGCATGTAATTTTTGTCTCCACGCTACACGCGCTCTCTGTATCACACATAGCGGACTTCCGCCCCGATGCGCACACACACACAAATGTGCGCGCGCACACAAGTGAGCACACTCCCACTCCCACTCTCTGTGTTAATGAATGGCGCAGACACGCGTTTACTACTCGTACTGAAGCGCGCTTGAAGCTTCCGGTGATATTAACGTCTAATGAGGACATAAATACAGGAACAACATCTCCAGAACTGCTCTGAGAGTCACTTCATGAGCATTTGACCGTTTCATTTGAGTAAATTAAAAGATAAATTAAATGAATGTTTTATGCCTTAAAAAAATGTAAATACACAACACAGAATTTGGTAACAATAAAACATAAGGTTAGAAAAAATAAAACATTTCATAGGGCCCTAAACATGTAATTTGTGTTAAACTTTTAATAAATTGACGTTAAATTGTTTAAGTTTCATGATTTCAATTAATTAGACATGCTTTTTGATTAATAAAATGTAATTTAACCATTAAAAAGGAGTCCAGACAAATTTAAACGGACCCCCCGACCCCCAAGCCATAAACCTTGGGGAAACACTGTATATAATACTCACTTTTCATGATACAGTCAATTCATGATGGATAAAAGCAAGTTTTAAACTACATTAAAAAAAACACTATAAAAGTGGTATTCCAAGTTTTCACAAGCTAAACAATATCGTTTTGTGAGGAACACTATTTCGATATGAAACGCCTACATTTAAAAAAAAAAATGAATATTCATTCTGAGATACATCACATTACAGCATTAAAATGTTTCATGTTGATTTTAATGTCTGTTATATCTGGAATCGGGTTGATTTGGATGCTAGAATGCTACCATGACACAACGCTTTCCAGATTGCTAGCATTTTGTCAAGATCATGATGATAATGATAATAATAGCAGTAGGACTGAAAATGTTGTTTTCAGTTTGTTTGTTTTCAAGCTAGTTTCTTTTGGTTGTTTTGTCTGAATGTGTAGATGATCATCCTGATCTTTATGAATCCTGTCAGTGGAATGTTAACTCTCCTGGACAGAGGATGGGGCTCCTTTTGTGCTCTAACTCATGTCTTTTTGTCTTTCTTTTCCCAATTCCTTTCTCTCTCTCTTCCTCATTCCCTCTCATTCTGTCTCTCTCTCTATATCTGTAGGTGCAGTCACGATGCAGCAGCAAGGAGAACATCCTGAGAGCAAGTGGGTGACCGATTGTGCATTATCGGGATGATTGTGCGTGTGTGCTTAAGAGCGCGTTTAAATTCTCACTCTTTTGTCTCAGGTCACAGTGCAGTGGATATCACCAAGGTAGCTCGGAGACACCGCATGTCCCCATTTCCCCTCACTTCTATGGACAAGGCCTTCATCACTGTGCTGGAGATGACTCCTGTCCTGGGTAACGAAATCATCAACTACAGAGGTAAGACCCTTGTTTGCTCATACCAACCTAAACTAGACCAATGACCTGTTTGCACCAAGGTAAACCACATGAACAAAAATATTCACAAACTAGGGATGTCAGAGGTACTTGATGATAAATGTTAAATGTAATCAAAGCAGTTTTTATAAAATATTTTTAAAAGCTTGATCTTGGCAAGTTATTGGTGAATGCGAACAGCTGGAACAAAATTAAGATATGTCAAAATATGGGATCTGTGCATTAGGACTTGTAATGTAAATTCAGCCTAATAGACCTGCAGCTGTCATTAATATTAATCAAACAACAATATTAACAAGATTCTGTTCATGGCTGAATAACTTTAGTTGCTGTAATGAGTCCTCTACAATCAAACATGAACAAAATCAGTATTAATGTATTACATTTAAAAATCATGCTATGAAAACTATTTATGTTTTTCTCTGAAAAAAAAGACAGATTGCCTTAAAATGTGTACAGCATCCAGTAAAAATTAATAAGTAGCAGAATTAAAAAATGAAAAACAAAAAAGAAATCATTGCAATACAGTATTTGATACTCTGAATGGAGGAGTTCACAGAGTTGAATCATGCATGTTTTTAGTATTAAAAATGCAGACTCATTCAGACAACTTGAGAATGGGCCTTAAAGGGATAATTCACCCAAAAATCAGCATTACTGTCATCATTTATTCACCCTTATGTTGTCACAAATCCATATGACTTTCTTTCTTCCTTCTCGCCGCTCCTTTCCATACCAAAAAAAAAAAAAGCCATAAAACACCATAAAAATACTCCATATGACTACTTGTGAAGAACATGGTGAAGAATATCCTGATATAGGGACATATAAGACACATGCTATCATGAATAACTCCTTTTGTTCTACACGGAAGGAACGTCATATGGGTTTTGAAAGGCACAAGGATGAGTGAATGATTGTGAACTATCCTTTTAACATGAAATACTGTCCTTCTGATGGTACCAAAATGAGTTTTAATTGGCTGTTGGACTGTGGTATATATAGGCCAGTTAGTGTTGAAGGCATATAGTCACCAAGCTCTTTGCTTTGCAGGCTTTCAGCTTTTGCTTTTTTCCTCTTCCATGCCTGTAGCTCCTCATCTGTCACACATCTGTTCGTTGTTTCTTTCACCCCATCGTCTTTCCATCTTTCTAGCTTTAATCTTGTCGCTCGTTTCATCCGGCCATCTTCTGTTGTTTTTTTAACTCGCTGAGTTCTCTGAAGCTTTGATGCCATTGTGATCATCCGAAGACATCCTGTGGTCAGTTTCCACACGAATCCAACCTTAAAGGCCTTCTTTCTGAATTTCGGGAAAAGCTCTGGAAGATTTTCACTTACTCATACTGTAGTTGCTCAATCCACATGAACATCAGGAGCAGTCCAGTACCACGGGCTAAATTACATCCCATAGTTTTTTATTTACTTTATAGTCGGCACTCTGACACAGCCCATGCTATTCTTTTTGATGGCTCCTCTTTGGTTTTTCATGGCCATGACTAACACAGGGCAGCCACCCTTGCATGTGGACGTGAATTGTGCCACCAAGATGCAGGCTGTGAGCTGGGCGTTAATTTCGGTCCATGTGGTGGGGGATAGCGGGATTGCCCATGTAGTAGTTAAATGTGCCCAATGCATCTGGCAGGGCCCAATGCAGGTGACTTGACCCCCCCAGCACGAAAAGGCATCTGGCGCCAGAGTGGCTCAAGTTGGCGGAAAATTCCTCTCTGCACTGGCGCCGAAGCAAAGGCAGAGAGGAGAGCCCTGGTCAGTGCTGCCCACACCCCAAAATATTACACAGGTCAGTGTGCACCATTACCCAGCACCTTCATGTCCGGCGCACATCTTCGAGCATGCCCGATGCTCATCCGGCCCCAGTAATGTGCGGAATACTCATCCATGCCACAGCGCCATTTCACCTCCAGACCAGCAGGATTGAGAGTTGTTTGCAGCCATTGACAAGAGGGTGGAAAAAGAACCTCATGTCAAGGACTGATATAAGTATGGCTGAATCGCAGTTTGCATACTTGTATGCAAAGTCAAGTACGAAAAGTTGAAAAAATTTAGCCGTCGATTGTAGGCGGGTACAAAATTGTGACGAAAATTGCATCTTGATATTGCGTCAGTGAACCATCGCTAACAAATCCACTTGCATTGCATTCATTGATCCATCCAATTAGATATAGTATGCCATTTGAGTATCTTTTGACATATACATATATATATTTTTATGCGACAAACTATTACGGATAGTATGTCGAATTGGGATTCAGCTTATAAGAGAAGTGATTCACTGGAATCTTTTGTTTTCCTTGAGCTTGTTCCACTGATTTGAACATGTCATGGTTGACATTAATAGTCAAAGAACATAATCATGTTCCATGTTTGGCTGTATCCATTTGGTTTATCTATGGAGAATGGCCTAGTTTGGAAGAGCTTTGTTGTCATTTTGCGTTCCAGATCATTTGCCCATGACTGCTGCTATGGAAGCCAGTGAACTCATCAATCGTGGTGCATGACGCAATGGTTAGAGATGTCAGTGAGCTAGCGTACAAAAACCAACAAAAACTCCCAACTTAAAGCAAACATTCAATACGCAAGCTTTTCCGACATCACCTCTTTTCACAAAACCCACCAGCACCTCAAACATTGTGCCTTTAATCTATCAGTAACCATGTGTAGAGCGTCACTGTTTCCTGACAGATAAAAATGATGGATTTTCAGCTCAGTGCGAGCACAAGGAAGGCAGGTCCAGATCAGCGTAAATAGAGGAAATATCCTCACCCAGCCAAGTAATGTCACTCATAAATTTTCGAAATGCGTTTTTCATACAACAAGCTGGGTGTAAGTTATGAGCGGCTGTCTGTTTTAAAACCTCTCTCTGTCACCTCGGTTAATAAAATAAATTTAAAATGTATAAATGGTCTCAGCCTTGGAGAAGATTGGCCATTTAGAGTATGCTGAGGTGGAACGGTCTGTTCTGCTGGATGTTGATGTACAAGTAAGAATTTCCGATGCACCAATATAAATTACCAATAACCAATACTGTAGGTTTGCGGATAATGCTGTTTAAATTAATTACCATTCAAAAGTTTTTGATAGAAGTCTCTTATGCTCCTCGAGGCTAAATTTATTTGATCAAAATACAGTAAAATCTGCAATACTGTAAAATATTATTGTAATGTAAAATTTCTATTGTAAAATAATTTAAAATGATTTATTCTTACGATGGTAACATGAATTTCTAGCAGCCATTACTCCAGTCTTCAGATCCTTCAGTAATCATTCTAATATTCTGATTTAGTGATCAAGAATAATTTCTTATTAATATCAACATGAAAACATTTGTGCTGCTTAATATTTTTGTAAAAACTGTGGTATATATTTTTTCAGGATTCTTTGATGAATAGGTAGCATATAATTGGCAGATATGATGGCCAATTTCAAAACAGTTCTGTCCCTGTAAAAAAGATTTATAAACAATATTAAAAAAAATTGTAAATCATTTTAAAATATTTTTTTGTAGTGTGGTTAAAATCTGGAAACATTTACATATTTTTTTCCCTAAAAACTTATCCAGTTCTCATATTATTTTTTCACATTCATATTTTTTTTTGTTCTTTTTATAATACATATAATACATTTTATAATAATACGTTTTTTCCCCAATATGTTTGTTTATTTTACCTTTCAATTTTATAAGTTTAAAATGAATCGAGTGCTAGGTAACGTAAAGATTACATCACCTTTAAAATTAGTTTTAGGGGCCCTGTTTTAGCGATCATTTCAGACGACAACATTTGGTATGGACTTCAGTCTTACACGTGGTCTCTTTACGGGCCTGTGCTCGGCTGTGTTGAGTAGATCTGGGCGTGTTGTATTGTAGCTGCAGGGAATCGTTGCAGTTTCACGGTGACTGGGTTGTCAGCGCTCTGTGATGCATGCTTGTGTACTCATCTCTGTGTGTAGATAACACCGTACCCATCTGTTTGATCTCCCAATCCAGACACACGCTATATTTAGAGCCTCGTCAGATGTGCTGTTTTAGAGAAATAAGTATTTTCTAATCAGCCTCCAACCGAGGAGAGGCCTCATTAGCATCAGCTCGTTCTCTCTCTCTCGTTTGCATGCTTTATCTCTACAAGAGCGCCTTTGCACTCTCTCGTTCTTTTCCTTTTCTGTCTCTATTTATTCTCTCTCTCGCTTTCCTTCTGGCTCTCCCTGATTCTTTATTCCTTTCCCTATTTCTCTCTCTGTCTGTCATCTCTCTTTTCTCTTCTTCTTTTCATGTGTGGGAGGGCGCTTGTTGCTCCCCCAAGAGATCTCAGGCTTTGTGTGCGAGTGTAAGTGTCTGTTCACGTTACACTGTGTGTTTGGTGCTCAGAGGAAATGGCACATCTGTGTTTCAGGGCACACTCTTATCCACCTTTCCTACCCCTTTATTTAGACTATATGCAAATTCCTACTCTTTCATATGAATGTATGAAATGAAATGTTAAAAATTCGACCACTGACGTATGCTCTTTATAAATAATATAAATACATTCCTGGACATACTGCATTGTTCAAAACGGATTGGATCTTCTAGATAATGAAAATAACTTTTGATAAACAAAACAGATAATCAAAGATATTCCTTTAGATCAAAATTATAAGATCTTTTTTATGGGTTGTCTTTTTGTAGCAGTGCTAGCTACATAGCACAAAGCAAATAATTTTGTAGTAACTTGTGCCAATGTGTAGTAACTTGCATGTATACAAGGTTAGCAGGTTTGTCAGTTAGCAGTATGCTAAGCTAGCCAGCTAAATGGCTACTGTATGCAAAGTTAGGAGCTTCAAATTAGTTTTCTGCAAAGCCTCTAGTTGTAAAAACCACTAAGATTTAAATTCCAAAAGAAAATAGGATAATCTTTGACAAGTGAGAATGTTGTTTTGTGTTTTTTATGTTTTGTTTTGTGTTTCAATATGGTAACTTTTAAGCGTCGTGTTAGCTAATGCTTTTGTGTTGTGTTATTTTAGCAAAATCGCCTGCCGAAATCTATTGCAGATATAGATATTCATACTGTCACGTTACGCCGTTGAGGGAACACGCTGGAGGCACAAGTAAATGAGAACAGTCTTTAATCAAGGAAACACAGAGGATAATCCACAATAGGAGCTTGAGCCAACACACGTAGACAACAAGTAGACCTGACAAACACAAACTGAACAGACTAGGACTTTTATACAGGGGATGATTGGGGAACACAGGTGACATCAATGGAACCTAATCAAACAAAACGAGGACAGGAACATGACCAAATAAGGCAAAACAGGAACTGACACACATGACAAAACAGGTCCAATCCTGACACATACAGTAGGCCTACATGCATATAACCACGGTTGCAGAATTTTACAATATGGAGGACAGCTTACTTATAGTGACCTATAGAAACAGCTGCTACTGAGGCAGAGCTGGTTAGCGTGATATAATTCACTGATATAATGGCTAATTCCCCAATTAGAGGAAAGAGAAAAAATACTTCGGAAAAAAAAGAATAATTCTTGTTTTAAACGATAGACTATAATAGTTTTAGAAAAAAAGTATATTTTTGTTTCCACATTTTTAAGGAATAGGGATGTTATTTCACTCTTTAAGAGTGTCAGCATTTCACTGTTATGGGTGATATCTTTTTCTACACATAATGGTGTATTCATTTGCTCCTGTGTAGTAACTTGAATGCAAGGTTAGCAGGCTTGTTAGTTAGCGGTATGCTAAGATACCTTACAAACATAGAACATGAAATAGCTTTTGATTGTATAATATATGTGATTAACGTTCTTTGTGATATTTTGTTAGTTAAGATAATGGATATCTTCACCTGCATCATCTCCTCCCTCACTTCTCTCGTTCTTACATTCCTCTTTTAATGTTGTATGGCTGCATGAGTGCATTTGCTTTCTCATATAGCTTTTGCTGGCCTCTGATTTACATCAGCCATTTGCTGGCACATGTCCCCTTTTTGACTTTTACACAGAAGTTAACTTGTTTACTTGTTTATTGTATTGATGATTGTGTTTATCAGACTTCTTTCCTGTCCTTTTTCTGTGTTTGTAGATGGAATGGGTCGAGTTCTGGCTCAGGACGTCTACGCCAAAGACAACCTGCCTCCTTTCCCTGCATCAGTTAAAGATGGCTACGCTGTTCGAGGTGAATACCCATTACTGCAAAATTACTCAACCTGCATGGTCTCGTTTACCACTTTTTTCCACCCAAATGAGGCAGTGTTCTTGCTGAAACCGTGCTCGGCCTGGAAATTTTGTTCTGCATTTAAGGGCAGAGAAATCACATAACTGATTATATAACAGTATATCCTGCCCATAAACATACATTTGCACAAACATTTAGAGAACATTTAACATCAAGTATAATTTAAGTATAATAATTGTATTCCTGTGATGGCAAAGCTGAATTTTCAGCAGCCATTGCATTAGTCTTCAGTGTCACATGATCCTTCAGAAATCATTCTAATATGCTGATTTGCTGGTCAAGAAACATTTCTTATCATCAATGTTGAAAACAGTTTTGCTGCTTAATATTTTTTACTAGTGCTGGCAAACGATTAATCGCGATTAATCGTATCCAAAATAAAAGTTTTTGTTTACATAATATATGTGTGTGTGTACTGTGTATATTTATTTTGTATTTATAAATACACACACATGCATGTATATATTTAAGAAAAATGTTACGTTTATATATTAAATATATTTATATGATATAATTTATATGAATATAAATATATACACGTAAATATATGTAAATATTTTCAAAATATATGATGTATATGTCTTTCTATATACATAATAAATATTCACAGTACACACATATACAGTGCTGTGAAAAGGTTTTTGCCCCTTCATGTTTTTTTAATTTTTTGCATATTTGTCACACTTAAAAGATTCAGATCATCAAACAAATTTTAATATTACACAAAGATAATGCAAGTAAATACAAAATGCAGTTTTTAAATGATGATTTCAAACACACCAGCAAGTCCACCGCTGAATGGCTCAAGAAAAACAAAATTAAGGTTTCGGAGTGGCCAAATCAAAGTCCGGACTTAAATCCGATTGAGAACAGTCCATTCATGCTCGAAAACCCTCCAATGTGGCTGAATTAAAACAATTCTGCAAAGAAGAGTGGGCCAAAATTCCTCCACAGCGATGTGAAAGACTAAATGCCAGTTATCGCAAACACTTGATTGCAGTTGTTGCTGCAAAGCGTGGCACAACCAGTTATTAGATTTAGGGGGCAATTACTTTTTCACGTAGGGCCAGGCAGGTTTGGACAGCTTTTTTCCCTTAATAAAATAAATCATCATTTAAAAACTGCATTTTGTATTTACTTGCATTATCTTTGTGTAATATTAAAATTTGTTTGATGATCTGAATCTTTTAAGTGTGACAAATATGCAAAAAATAAAAAAAACAGGAAGGGGGCAAACACCTTTTCACAGCACTGTATATTATGTAAATAAAAACTTTTATTTTGGATGCGATTAATCGCGATTAATCATTTGACGGCACTAATTTTTACACAAACCATGACATTTTTTTCCAGTATTCTTTGTATGGATAGAAAGTTAAAAAAGAACAGTATTTATTTGAAAAAGAAATTTGCATTTGTAACATTGTAAATGTTTTACTGTCAATCTTAATCAATTTAATGCAACCTTTCTAAATAAAAGTAGTCATTCATTTTTATTTTTATTTTAAACAAAGAAAAAATATTATTTTTATTTAATACTTGCTCATTTTGAGCTACAACATACAGATACAACAACCTTATTTTTAACTATAACTATTATGATCACATTAATCAAAACTGTAAACCTTTCTCTTTTTACTGTTTTTCAGCTGCTGATGGTCCTGGTGATCGCTTCATCATTGGAGAGTCTCAGGCTGGGGAGCAGGTGAGTTAAACGAACAAAAACTGGAACTAGTCTTCTTACACTGTTGAAAACCTGACGAACATAGTCTCTCTCCCTCACACATACACAGGAAATGCCTGCTTTTGCACTGGCACCTTGTGTCTGCAGGAAGCTTGTGTGCTCAGATGGCAAGAAAACTCAGACTCAGTGAGCGTGTTTAATGAGTGCATCACACACACACACACACACACACACACACACACACACACACAGAGAAAG